CTGCCTAACCTGTCTTTTGCACAGTACTGTTTGTGGTCCGGAAAGTAGAAGTGGCAAAATTTCAACGAATTTTGCTTGAATGCTTCTCCTGAAGAAAGGTTGGCCGTAGAGCAAGGTCAACGGCCAACGAGAGACGATGGTGCTGGAGGTGCTCGAGCCCTTTTATCGCTGCTTGCAGCTTTAAATATTGGATTTGCCTCAAATCATAAGATATCATAATCATGAGATAATTCTGTCTTTGTCATTACATGCTGATTTCTGCCGGCTAAACATTCTAAAATTCTACAGCAAATGTAACAAAGTTCCTTCAGTCAAAGTATTAGAAACATCACATTTTTGTCCTTGTTTTTATTCGTATTCAATGGAGTAATCAAAAATACTTTTGTGTCTATTTTGTTAACAGAGAATAAAGTCCATTGAACCCTAGTTCTAAATAAAAAAAGCAACTTTACACACACACACACATACATAATCAAATTTCACCACATTTCACTGTTTGCAAAAAATATATATTTCCTTATAAAACACTGAACATGTTAAATAATGTTTATAACTAATTTTGTGTCTGTTTTATTGTACATAAGTCGTGTGTTCACAGGCCGTGACGCGGTCACTCTAGGCATGAAGTCATGACGAGTCTATGTCTCATAATTATTCATGAGACTTTGTTCTTTATGCAATGGAAAGGTGCCATGGGCACAATTATTGAAATACACACACTTGTGCCGCTGGTTGGCCATGAACAAGCGACACGTTAAATCTGGACATGTGTCCAGAGCTACAAGAACTGGAGAATTATGAAATTGAACTTTCAAGTAGCCCTTGAAATCTTCCAGAACAGTCTCATTATTATATATCAGAGTTGTTCATCTGGCTACAACATGTAAATAAACGAGGAATTTCCTCCTTGTGGTTTGATGTTAGTGTTCTCCCTCTTTCAGGCGGAGAGCCCAATCACATCAAAGAGTCATTTATGAAGGCTTCACTACCAGGATTTATTTGTAAGTGTCCTCTCAGCCTTATACGGACAGAACAACTGCACAGATGATAAGCTCAAGAAGTTTATTACATGATTCATTTAGCACAGAATCTTCTGGAATGAGAAGGTTTAATGTTTGTGCAGCCGCTTGATTCCACATGAGACACACATTTAATATCACCGACGTGGAAGCTGTAGAACTCCAGCTGTTTCCATGTTTATGAAGTGAACAGCAGGGATTTGCTATATTGTACATATTAAATATAATGTGCGTGTGATTAGCGTTGTCAAATCATGAACAACGCCTGATGAATTGCCTTGAAAATTGAAGGAGAGCAAAGGAAAAGAGAGAATGTGGGATGTAATTCACCCTAAAAACTCACTAAAAACATTGCAAGCCATCACCTTCAAATCTAGCATTACCAACTCCAAAGAAAAGACACTAGATGATGATGACGATGCCATTACCTAATTTGCATTTTTGCCCATGTGACATCCATGAAATAGATTTTTTTTCTCCTGCATGTGGTTCATTTGATGCCATTGAACAAATGGTGGAATAAAAACATTTCATGTACACTTTATTCATAGAATACATTATTTTCAAAAAGGTGGAGGAAATTAAAATATTCAAAATGGATTGCTGTGTGATTTTTAAAGCATCTAATGACCTTAAGAGATTGACAGCAGTGACGTTCATCTTGAAAATCACCTCTTTTGTGTTGCTCTGAGAGAGAGAGAGGCTGCAGTGCCAGGGAGAGCATTTTGGCTCCTTTCTTCATTCAAACGTAGTAACGTCAAGCTCACTCACTGACTGGGGAATATAACGTTACGAATCTGAAGTGGAAGGATCATGGCAGCACCTGAGAGTGAGCTTGAGCGGAGTGGAGACAGCTCTACTGCTTCGTGAGCGATCAGATCAAAGTTGCTGAAAGTCTACAAGAACCTCAGAAATTTTCTTGCAAAGCTGGCATTACGGTCAAAAGTTTTTCAAAGATTCAGAAAATGTGAAGTACATTTATTAACGGTTGCATAAACTAGAGAATAGTTGCGATAATAATATTACATAAGGATACTAGGAATCGGTTCTGACACCTAAGCAAATTGTAATTTTTGAATCATTATTCCTATTGATCACATGAACAGATAAATAATGGGTGTTTGAAATAATTTCAAGAAGAACAATAAAACAAGCAATTATGAGCTTCTTCTGCAGCGAGCGGATTAGCGCAGGAAGAGAGGGATTTAAGACAGGCAAAAGTTACGGCCACCTAGGGGTCGTAAGACCAGGAACAGCTGTCTGAAGACGGCGCAGGTGAGCGCTTGTTTTTTATATGTGTCCTTTTGCATAAAAACGCCTAATAAAACAAAGCTGGCACGCAGAGACATTTTTGTTTACCGTTCTTTTTCCATCTTTGTCGTATTCGTCAGCAAAGCCAGCAAAAGAGTTCACGCCGTCTCCTCATAGCGCTGAGCGAAACACAAGAAGTACCGGCATCTTCAAACACTAGCGCTCGCTGATTGGATATTAACACAAAAATGATTGTGTATTTGCTCATAGACGTGCATTTTTTCCCCTGACATCCGAAAAAAATATAATGACACATACAGGAGTTATTCAAACGAGAAATCGAACAACCGCGGGTTAAAAAATAATATCAATAATGTGTTTTTGTAACACTTAGTAGATGACGATTGCATGGAAATTATATATAATTATATGAAGAAAATGTGTAAAATACATGGCATCATGTAGGACACATGGTCTGATTGTGATGAATGTTTTGTTTAATGTGGTGAAAGAGATGTAATCTGATGGGCCATGAGTACAGCGCCGTCTGGCTGCAGGAAAATGTCGGCTGCGGACTGCAGCAGCTACACCACTTCCCCCTACCTCATCCTGCGATGTTCTCTTCCTGTATTTGTCTATGTGCTTGATTGCAGTGGCTTTTTTAACCTACTCCACACTGCCCTTTGAAAGACAGTGCGGAAAAGGCTCTTTTTTGAGCTGCTTTACCTAATGTATATCCATTTCTCTGTTTCTCTTTTAAATACTACCTCTCATTACTGGCCTGTCCGCACCCTGTCTATGTTTGTGGCCAGAGGGGTCCCATTTCGCTACATGTAACAGTGTATGTGACAAATAAAGGTTTCTTTCTCATCATCATCATCATCATCATCTCATCTCATCATCAAAGTCACTAAGCGTCTAAAAATGTCTTTATTATCTCAGATGGTTGTATTTAAGGATTTCCAGCTTCATTAGATGCAGAAATCTGCCATTAGTTGCTATTTGGTAAAGAGGACCTAGATACGGAAATCCACTGTTCAGATTGTACAACTAGCTTTGATGTTTTCGCAGATAATGTGTGTGTACAATCTGTCAATAAATACAATCAATAAATAGATATTTTTCTATGCATTTTAATAATTTTTTTATAAACACTCAATGCATGGAAATTTATTTTATACATATATTAAGTGAAATTCAGGTAAAATAAACATTTGTTTGTCCAATGGGGTCAATAGTTAGTTTAATTTGTTGAAAAAAGGTCACAAAACATCTAAAAGTGTGTTGAGTGTCTCGGCTGGTTGTAGTTCGAGGATATCCACCTTCATTAAAGTCTCTCTGGAGTGCTGAGCCGAATGAAACGGTGAAAGGTTGGTTCCTGATCTGTCTGCGCACTACAGGAGACTGTAAATGTTAACAATGCTCTTAAAGATCCCGAATCGACTACTGTGCTCAGCACAGACACAAGTAGAAACACAAATTTCTGCAGAAATGTCTGAAAGCGATTCAACTGGTTACCCTCAAACCCATCATGTCAGTAATTATCATTCAAACGAAATCATGCAAAAAAGGAGGCCAAGAAGCATCCTGTAAAAAACATTTCATCATCGTGACTGACACCGAAGGCTCTTCAATCACAGGCATATCACGAGGCTCGAATGAAACGCCTCCAGGCCCATGTTCTCTGTGTTCATAATTAATCTTTCATGATTTTTACGGGAGTTTGCGGTGAATGCTTTATCGATCTGTCCTCGAGTGACTCCAGATGCTTTCGTTCACTTCTCATTACGCTGGAAAAACACTGCAGTACAGACAGATCTCCACTTGAGCTGCACGATTAATCACTTAAAGATCAGATTCAAGCTCCCACATGATCTTAATTATGCAGGATTAAAATCTGTATAAGTTCATTAAACATCTGATGATCGCATATGCTCATTCAGATGTGTGTTTGATAAAAAGAGAGTGAGCCGCACGATACCCCTTCAAAATAGTACAGAATTAACATCAAAGAATGCGACAAAACTAAGGATGCTTTATTTAGCGCAATGCACAGGGAGAGAAAAACGAGTGTACACAATTCTAAAAAGAACAGAAAAATATAAAGTACTCAAACTCCGTATAGAAGAACTAGTGGCATCAAAACAATGTTTACATTAGTGAGTGTGATTTGATTTAGTCAACTGGTGATACCGGTCGCCTCTTCTCTTGTGAAACCATCACTGCCATCTAGTAGGGAAAAGAAGGGATAACTTTTGGAAGTACAAGACCTGTGTGATGGCTTGAGATGGCACAAAACAAAGCACAATGGAACAAAAAGTGCTTGGAACAGTGTTTAGAAAAGGTTTGCCGTTTTTTTTTAATACACTTTTCATATTATTTTGACATTGTCTTTGCTTTTTGGGAGAATTTCAGAATTTTTATTTTTATTATAAAATCTTTATTATTTATAAATAATGTTTTGCGGTAAAAAAAAAAAAAAAATCACACAATGTACTTCTCTGAATTTTATTTTTGTACTATTTCAGGTTTGTTGTGGAATTTTTGTAATTAACCTAAACACATGTTTTTAGGATTGTGGGGGAAACCAGAGTACCCGGAGGAAACCCACAGGGAGAACATGCAAACTCCTTCTGGAAGGTGACTGGCAAGCCTCGAACAGGAAACCCAACTGGAAAGCCGGAGTGCTACCCACTGCGCCAATGTACAGCAAAATTTTTTGCTTCTCATTGTTTTCACCCAGTTTCAAACTAGGGACCTTTTGATTGTTAGACAAAAGTAATAACCCCTACACTATAGAAACGTTCACTGAAAATAATTTATTAGAGCAAAGTGTAAAGCTGTAAAAATTGTTCAAAAAGGCCCCAGACTTCTAAAGGTTAACACATTTGTTTACACTGTTTTTAGTATAATCTGTTTTCAACCTCAACTGAGCCTTCTGGCAGGTGTTTGGCATGTTCTGACAATAAAAAAACTACTTTAAACCTCTTATACCTTTTCTGTTTGAGATCTTTTCCCTTCATATGGCTTTATATTGGTCAAAAATAAAGATTTGACCTACCGTATTTTTCGGCTCATAAGACGCACTTTTTCTTCCCCAAAACTGAGGGGAAAAAGTTGGTGCGTCTTATCGAGCGGAATGCAGAGCGCCGCGAATTCCGGTAACGGCCGTATGGCGTAAGAGCTCCGGAGCTAGGCCGAAGCCGCGGCCATATTTGTTTACCCAGCGCTGCACGCTGACGTCATCGCCCATCTCTGCCATAGCGCAGTCGTAACGAAAACGGGGGGAAAATACTACATTTCCCACAATGCCTTGGCTACGGTAGCCGCTGCGGTGCTTCCGCATCCATACTCACGAGCGAAACTGCTTTTGACTCTCGCATTTGACTGATCTTTCACGCTACAAACCCGATTTTTCACACTAAAATACATTTTAAGATGTGAAATGGGCACAGCTAATAGTTTATTTGCGATCTGTTTCTTGAGCCTGACAATAAGATGATGATCGATCTGCATCGTCTTCAGTCTGTCGTCTAGCTCCGGAGCTCCGGATTTAAAGTACAGTATTTCTTTTAATTTAAAGGCATAAAGTGTTGTACTAAAGTGCTGTGTTTTTATGCAACAAGAAAGGGTTGAGATGCTTGATTTGCCGAACAATTTCAATGGCTTTTGCAGAAGTAATTCGTCATACGCAGTGTCTCCATAATCATAATCATGGAGGTCATGGAGTAATTGCGATTTTTTTTTATTATTTAAGCAGATTACATATAAGCCACGATGGATAAAAGTGTCTGTCGAAAGCTGAAAATGAGAGTTTGAACTGTAAAAATGGCCATTTGTAAGCATTATTTTAGACAAATATCCTTTATTCACTGTTTTCTGTATCTTCAGTTACTTGTATTAAAATACTCAAAGTTAACCTTATAGTATACAAAATTATCTGCGATAATAATCACTTTTTGACTGTAAGTTGACTGTAAAATGTAAATTATCAGTGACTCTTAAGACTGGCACCAAACACTGCTCAATTATAAGATAACATGACTTGTTTTTTTTCAGTGGTGAATAAATGTAAACATTATACAGACACTGCACATAGGTGCAAACATACACTACTTTCATCGCGGTGGAAGAGCTCAAGTTAAAGCTTGTACATCACAAAGGGTGCAGCTTTTTTCTCCTCCAGTTTCCAAAGCCGAAATCGAACAAAAGAAGAGATGCAGTGTATGCTGGGTGTCACTGAGCAGAGGAATAGTTTCCTGCTCGAATGTGCTTCAGGATAACAAACGACACCATTATTCCATAGACACTCGGCTCTGCCCCACTTCCACTAGGAGAGAGGCATCTCTACAGACACTCGTACACATGCAACGCTCCATCTCAACGTGCTGACAATGCCTTTGTTAACCAGGTGCTTGTGCTCCTGGGTTTTCTACATCATCGTACATTCACACTAATGAGCAACCCATAGAAATGCATTCTGCATCCTCTTCTGAACGCCGTAGCACAGCCTGGCCATAGATGATAAAAAAGAAAATCAACAGAGACAGTGAGAGATCCCACTCTAAATGTCACGGCTAACTCCTAAAATAGATGTATTTCATTTGGAATGCCAAGTTGAACGGAGATATGCAGGCTTGCTTCACTTCGTTCTGATCCTTTTCATGTTTTCTGAGCTGAAAAAGGCAATTTTCCCCATTCTTTGTATTCATAAAAAAGGTCATAAAAGGGTTTTCCCTTTTTGTGAGTGCAGGTCATGCGCTAAACCAGTTTAAGCAGATTATATATGCTCAAAAATAATTACTCAAATTAGTCCATAGATGCTATTAACTAGTTCATGATACAAATATCAAACTCAAGTCTAGTTGAATACAGCTGAAAACCAGCTTAAACCAGCTCACATACTAATCAGATTCAGATTTTATTTGTCACATACATACGACATGGAGTGGAATGTATTTTATGGCTGTACAAACTGTGAACATTGAGATACTAATTACATTAAGAACATTAAGAGCATAAGGATAAATAGATAAAAGAGGATTCAAAGATCATGTACATTTAAATGGGCATCAGATTAAAAAAAAAAAATACAAAATACAACATAATACAAAAATTTCTCTGGAAAAGTAAAGTAAAGTGTCTGTAGGTGTATATACAGGGAATATGTGACGTGCAAAAACGGCAAAAGGATGTGTTTGTGACAGATGGTCATTAAAGTGTCGAATAGCTGGGTTTAACCCGCTGGCCGGAAATTACTTACAGAAAGATCGCATGATTGCACCCACTATTGTTAAGGAAAATTTGACAAACTTGCTTAAAGTCATCCAGTTTTACGCACGGCGGTGAGCAGAGAGCGCGCAGCAAAAACTTTTTTTCCTGAGAAAAAGGCATTGTATTTCTGTTACTGTTAGAGACAATGGCATCTAAGTAGATATTTGGTCGTTTTGAGGACATTTTAGCGGAGATTCAGATTGTTTTAATGAGTGGCTGCACAAATCACATTGTTTTACATATTTTTATTACTTTTTCATTGTTTGCATTTTCTTTAAAAATGTTTTTTTTATTGAGTAGTTTATCTAGTGGTGTTGATTTCTATTTAAAAAAATGCAAATTTACATCAGTTTGCTCATTTGGTTACCAAGTGCCAATTTGGTGCCAATGGTGCCCGCCTGGACATTGTCTTATAAATCACTCCAGAAAACACACATTTAGCTCCATTTTGACAGATTTTGGTCATGTATTGGTCCACAGGTGTGGCTTCCATTCAGTGTTGTCAAAAAGTCCACCAGGGACTCAAGCATTCACTTATTAATTAGGCAAGGATCATTTTTTTTTACTATTTCTACAAAGTTTGTGACTCTATAACTTTAGTTTTGTTTGAGGTATCCAGTTCCTTACTTTCTCCTGATGAACTAAAATGGGTTTTCTTTTCAATGACACCAAGGACATTAATTTAGTCATAAAATGTGAGAGTTACTGCCATTTTATTTTGGGTATGCCTTTTTCAGATGTTCAAAAAGAGGGGTGGGTGTTAAGGGGTTAAAGTGACTTGTGCTCTCAAGTCCACGGATGTGCAGTAAATCCCTGTTCAAAGACCGAATGGCGTGCAGGAAGAAGCTCCTCCTCATTCTCAAACCAGGGTAACCCTGCTTGAAATCTGCCAAAACCTGGACATCACCTAGACATAAGTTCAAGACCCCTATCTCTAAATCCTCTTTGCTCCTGGAGGAGAATAAGGCCTTAACAACACTCCTCAACCCAGGCTCCTCCTCCAGATCTGCCTTGAGCACCCACTTTTTCTCTTCCCTTGCGGATTCCCATCGAGCTCCTTCCGCAAAGTGTTCTGTTCATTTTCTCTTCTCGTCCATGGGACTGCAAAAACGGAAATCTAAGCAAAGCTTAAAAAAAGTTTAAATTTAGATCTTAAAAATCTCGATTTTTTAAATTAAAAGAAAAAACATTTAGTTTTATAGGTATAGATTTGCTTATTTTGAATAAATACGACCTACGTTTTATTAAGAAGAAAAAAAATGCTTGTTCTGATCATTTATTTGCTTGAGTTAGGAAACTTTGAAAACAAGGTTTTGATGTTACCGCTAAACTTCAAACAAGAAATTCTAACCCAACAATATTACGACTTAGATCATTACTTTTGAAAAAAACAAAAGATAAAAAATGCTTAGATATTAAAATCTTCTTTGATGAGTCAAAAAATGTGGTAAGCAAGTTTTGTATGGTAAACAATACATTTTAAGCTATAGTGTGTGGTTACTTCGTACTAAGCACAAACGTTTTCACGTGGTGTGGTGGACAGTGCACTCAACATTATTGCAGCAGGAATAAATTTGATTCCTGAGTGAGTGGATAAATACTCAGGGATGTTACTTGCCTCCTGCCTGACCGTACACTCTATTATCTGTAAAAAATAATAATAATGAATGAATGAAAATATTTCTCATTTTAAGATCAAATCGTATTGTTACCGACTTGAATTTAATGACATATATACTTGTTTTAATGCATAAAACATCCATGTTTTAATATCACTTTTGATTATAGTTACAAGATCAAATATTTTAGGTCCGATGCTGTTTTACATTCTAAACAACTTGATTACACTTGTTCTGAGAGATTTGAACATCCATCCAGCAAGACATTTTTGCTTATTTTAAGAAATCTTGCAAGCTTGCTATGCCCATTGACAGATTTTTTTGCTTGATCTAGGAAGAATTTAATTGCATTGAAGGTTTTTTTTCTTATTGCAAGATGTTTTTTTTTGTTTTTTGCAGTGTAGCTCGGGACCACTGCACCTCAGTTAATGATAACATTCGATCAGCCTTGGCCCTGTAAACTGAATCATGGCAAGCTGAAATCCAGTGTGATCGTGCTGAAGTTAATTTAAAGTGAGCTCAAAACAGTTCCACCCACCACTGCTTTTAAATGATAAGTTAAATAAGTGTAAAAGTGCTTTTCTGAATACTGCAATACGTTTTTCGGAATACTGACATTTCCAAGCAAACTTTACATCGTAAATTTATTTTATTGCTAAATTTTTGCAAGCATCCATTTTATACAATAAATATTTACAATAATACCATGCAATTCATAATTTATATCCAATGTTTTTGGCATTTACATCCCTCTTTTTCTTTTACAGTAGACAGCGATATATGCATAAGAGTTATAATGCGCATAAAATAAAAAGTTTTAGTATTGGGAGGAGATTTGGGAATGGTTATGGATGATTTCAAAACTATCCATGAATAAATTAATGTTCTGGATCAGAATTGCTGTAGACAC